AAACGCGTTAGAGGCCTAACACGAGGCAGCTTCATGCTGCAGGTCACTCTAGAGGACCCAGCGATCTGCTCTCCTCCAGGCGAGCTGCTGAGGTGAGTGAAGCATCTCTAGATCTTCCTCCCAGGATGTGTACAAGCTCAGTACGCGGGGAGGAGCTACGACGGTGCCCGATGTGAGTAGGGTTTCGTCGCACAGAGCGTCTCCCAATTTGTACGACTTCACTGGTTTTCAACGGAAGGATCACACGCAGGAAGACAGGAAAGGGTTTAGGAAGGTGCATTGTTGTGGAGATTCGAAAGCGGCGGACATTGCAGAGATTGTGAATGACAGGCTACAGGCTTGTGCTGCGGTCAGAACTCCCAGAGTTCCTGGTGATGATCTTAGACGGGGAAGAACAGGGGAGGAGGAAGCAGCTCCGATCAGTGATACATTCTGCAAGAAAGGCTTGCTTATGAAAGTTCCGGATTATCTCACCAAGCTTGCAGGGGCATCGAGGGGTGGTGACGAGCTGTTCCTCACTTACGACCTCCAGACTGTGTTTTTGATACTAAGAAGAAGAACACCAAAAAGAACAAGGCAGGGACTGTGGCGTCTGTGACTGTTCCGATCAGTGCTAAACAGTGGCTGCTTCAGGCGATTGGGCTGAAAGACGATGAAATCCGCGAAATGTTTGCGCAGGTACTTGTGTTTTTTGATTTCTTTTTCTCGTCTGAAGGCATGAATGTTTCTGGCAGATGGAATCAAATCCTCAACTCGCAGCTGAGCATGTACGTGAGGTGAAGAGTGAATGGGAAGCCATGGAAGCTAGAGTGAACAGAGTTCCCCCGCAAGCAGATTTTCTTGTCAAGGACCGGGCGTTGCTAGAGAAAGTAAGGGAGCTGATTGTCCGATTTATCGAATGCACAAATCCAGAGAAGTTCCAGTCTGCTGAGCCACTCAAGAATGCGGACGAGAACACTGTCAAGCTGCAATCTAAAGCCTCGAGTCCGGATGATCTGAGCAACAAAGCAGAAAACCTTCATCCTGAGTCGAATGCTGCTTCCAGATTACAACCTGAAACTCCTTGTCCAATGCCTTCCTGTGAAAACTCCGGTCAAGTGAAAGATGCAGTACCACCAGATGAGAAGCAGACTCTTCCTTCGTTTATTCCCATGGAGGACTATGTTGTCAACAAGTACGTTGTCCAGGTACGCATTGTCAATAAGCAGGATTTTTTTGTAATCTGCAATAACGATTTGATGTATGTGGCAGCCAGAACTCTTAGGCAAACCTGAGTGCAAGTTCGCATATAGTCCGTATGATAAACGATGGTATACAGTTGTTTTTCCTGCTCTTCAGGTACTTTTACTTATTATATTTTTTTTCGACTCTTTTTTTAATGTTTTTGAAGTGCAGCCAGGTAAAAGAGAGGATGTTCAGCTGCTTGGAGAGTGGCTGCAGCATGCGATGCGCAAGAATCGTTGTGAGAAAGTTGATGGACGGTTCGAAAATGTTGAAGCGGCCTTTGTTCTTCACTCGATTGCTTTCTTAGAGATTGTTCGTCAGGTGAAAAAACTTACCTGTTTATTTTTTTTGTTCTGTTCTAGAGCTTCTCTTGTTAAGTGATGCCCTTCAGGTTACATCGACAGGTTGATATTCATTGCGAAGAACGAGGAAATCTCCTGTTGCATGTGTGGAGACAGCTTCTTCGCATCTTTAACCAGGTATCATCTCATTTGTTTTGAGAAAGCGTGAGTGAGGTTTGATTTGTTCTTCAGGTGCTTGTGCGGGCTGAACCGAAGCTTAAGGCCACCGAAGAAGAAACCAAACGTCTTAGAAATGAGCTGGAGATGACAAAGGATCAACTGTTCAGGATGGTATCGGATCATGACTTCTACAAAGAACAGTATGACGTTATAATAGCGAAGCTGAAGGAAAGGGACCATCAAATGAAGCTGATCAGGAGATGCCGGTTGTGTCGCACTGACAACATGAGTCCCAGATCCCGGGAGGAGTATCTCTTTGACCTGAAGAAGCGATCGATATCTTTCAGATATACTCACTCCACCGATTTTTCAACTCCCACTCCAACGGAAGAGGAGCTCAAGAAACAGGAGGAAGAACGTCTGAAACAAGAGGAGTTGAAGAAGCAAGAGGAAGAACGTAAGAAGCTGGAGGAAGCTGGTCAGGTTGAAGGGGCCACTACAGAAGAGCAGCCACTCGAAGAGTTATCTTTCGAAGAACCATCTATTGAAGATCCAACAATCGAGGAAACGCCTGTGGAATCGGCAGAAGAAAAAGGACCTGTGCCGGTGGTGGAATCCAAGGACGAAGCCGTTCAAACTGATCCCAGCAGAGGATTAAGAAGGTGTCAAAGTGCGCCACCAGACATTTTTCCTCCAACGAAAATCGGGGAAGCCAAGGAAAAGGTTGCTGCGGAAGGTGTTGAAACTGCTGAAGGTGCTCCGGGAGAAGCTGCGGAAGCTGAGTGTAAAGCAACGACAGGATTGAGCGGAACTCCACAAACCGAACTGTCTGCCGAGGATTTGAAGGATTTGGCTGGAGGATGGGTTGATCCTGATATTGCAGGCAAGAAGAAAGATGAAAGCGTGGAACGCTTGAAAGAATACGAGACTCTTGCAGCGGATACAATAAGTTTGCTCGACAGGCTTCCCATGGAAGGTGCATTGGCAGAAAAGATTGAGAATCTCCTGAAGAAGTATTGCGAGATGACGGGAACTGTTCTTGAAGAGAAAGTGCGAGAGAAGTTCATGATGCGATCCAAAAGCATGATGAAGCGGGCTTCTGTTGCGCCAGACGGTGCAGGTCCCAAAGTATCGTTTATGGAAGGCAGGCACAGCGAAATGAGGAAGAGCAGGAGGTCGAAAGGAAGCAAAGCAGGACTTCAGCTGAAATCTTACGTGCCTCTTGGATTTTCGAAGATGATGAAGATTTATAATCCGCCGAAAACTGTGAAGTTCTTCAACGTTCGTCAAGTAAGTAACTTCTTTATTCTGCTTGATTTAGAAAAACTTGTTTGAATGTTCAGCTATCGAAGCTCATCGCCTCAGTCCTCTTGAACAAGATTGTAGCGGATTCAGTTGATGATTCCTGCAACAATGAACGTCAAACGTGTTGCGAGTTCGTTTATGACTTCATGCTCAATCAGTATGGACTGAAAGGTCTCAGCGAATCTGCAATCTTCGGCACCTTCAAAACTATCAAAAACGCTGATGGCGAACAAGGAAATAGAGAAGCATCATAAAGTAAGACCTTGTTTTTTTTTTGTTTTTTCCAATTTTTGTTGTGATTTTGTGTACTTACGACTCTGAAATTCCAACAGGTGAGGCTGTTCAGCCGGTTTGTTGGGATGGATGAAAACAACAACTACAGCGAACCGGATCTGTACCTCTACTTGAAGATTCTGCAGAAAGCATCAAGCAAAGTCGGAGTGCTTCTACCATCCGACCAAGACGACGGTCTGTTTTATCTGAACGCGTCGCAGTACGCTTTCATTGCAGATGAGCCAAATCTAGTTTCCTACTTTGGAAATCAGGCCGCGGCATTGTCGTTTGTGGAGAAGTACGTTGCCAAAAACGCAGTGACCGAGCGTGCATCACCGGAGGTAAAACTAAACGATCAGTAACATTCTTGTGCTTACGGTTCTAAGATATTGTGCGCAGATCAGGAAGCTTGTGAAAGAAAGTGAGGTTAGGAAAGTGGATTGGGATTTGCTTCTGGAGGCCATACTCGCTGTGTATCCCCATAAAATGGTACTGTTTTTGAAGTTTTTGTGATTTTTTATTTGAAGTCTCTAAACGAGTTGGTTGTTGATTCAGGACACAATTGCAGAAGAACGAAGGAAGAGCATTCAAGTGAGCAAACCAGTTCCAAAAGACAAGGTAACAAACATCATGTTCTTACTTCTCAAGACGAGCGTGCGCGATTCTATGCATGCATGCAGGCAACGGAGCTGGAAAATCTGTTTATTGCTGGAGATGCAAATCAAGATGGAGTTTTGACGTTTAGCGAGTTTCGTGAGATTGTTACAACAGCTGATTCGTCAATCTCGGCACAGAGCGCAATCCGGATGTTCAGAGAGACGCTGCTGATGATGCCCGACGGAGGAGACAGTATCAGTCCTCAAGCTTTTGCTCAGATTGCTTACAACCATGGCATCGATGCTCCTTCCAGCACTGTCTTTGATCTGCTCAAGAAAACATGGACACAGGTACGTTTGCTGGTTTTCTGTTTTCAGTTGAAAAACTCGGCATGAAACAAACAAATAGGTGCAAGATGATATTGATCCGGAGAAAGTGAATGCGAACAAGGACGACTATGAATTCTCCAAAGAGGTTCTGCAGGATTTGATGCAGCAGAAAGTGGACGTGAACTCGACGGTGCAGACATTCAGGCAATTCGTGCTGCGATTCTGTGCACAGGACGAGGAAGAAGAACCGGCGGCTTCACAGGAGGATCAAGAGCACGATGAGATCGAATCCGAACTCAAACTTACACCGCTTCATGAGGAAACAAATGGGGAATCATCATCATCTTCGGCCGCAGCAGCAGCAGCAGAGGATGACGATCCAACAAAGCTTATCTCAGAAGATCAAGAACAAGAACAGCAGCAGCAGCAGGACGATCAACAAGAACAGCAACAAGAGAGTGATGATCCGGGAAATTAGTTCAATTATGAACTCACAACTTCGACACTTGTGATGAAGGAAAAAGGCAGCACGAGCTTTGTTCTTTCCCACACATCTCCGTTAACCGAACTTCGGTGGTCAACGACCAGGGATTGACCGGAGGCCGCTGACCTTTGATGACCTGTACTCCTCGTTTGTCGCGTGGGATCCATCGCAGCCACTGCGGGCGCGCCACATAGGCGTTCAAAACTGCGGAGCGCTTGGTAGGTGTGATCGACGCCCAGCCGCGTGGACTGGTTGCTTCCTTAGACCCTTTGTTTGTTGTCGCCGAATTAAATGGGGACTTTTTCCAGTTTGATCAGTTGTTCCTGATTCTTCAGCTGGTCAAATTTCTAGGTTTAGGAATCCTTTCAAGTTTGGATCGATCGACTGAGCGAGAGGAGTAATGGGGCAGATTGGCGGTGGATCCATGGAATCGTCGAGCGTAGATTTGGTGCTTGCGATTCTGGGCATCAAGGGAATGGCTTCCGCGACTATTCCCCCGTATCTGTTCCTCCTCGGTCTGGCGCTGATCTTTGCGTCTGCGGCGCTGTTCTTGTGGAGACGAGCTGATTCGTCGAAGCGGGAGAGTGAGCCAGTCAAAGTGGTGAAGCCGGTTGTGGAGATTGAGGAGGAGGGCGATGAGCTTGACGGATTTAGCAACAAGGTTACTGTTTTCTTTGGGACGCAAACCGGGACGGCTGAAGGATTTGCAAAGGTGAGTCGTTCTTCATTCTCAACAGCACAGCTCAAGGTTTCCACTTTTTAGGCTTTGGCAGAAGAAGCCAAATCTCGCTATGAGAAGGTTTTGTTCAAAATCGTGGATTTGGTAAGTCGGTGCTGCTTGCTTGTGATCAAAAAGTGTTCGTTTGTTGAATTTTGTGCGTTTTTCTTCAGGACAATTACGCAGCGGATGATGAGACATATCAACTGAAGCTGAAAAAGGAGAATTTTGCCATTTTTATGCTTGCAACGTGAGTGCATCGATTCAACGTCGTTGAACTGAGGTTTTTTGTTTTCTGATGCAGATACGGTGATGGAGAACCCACTGATAATGCAGCAAGGTTCTACAAATTTCTCACAGAGGTCAGTCGCTTGGTTTTTTTTCTCGAGTTCGTCAGGAATTAACGATTGGCTCATGACAGGGAGGTGAGGAAAGAGGATCATGGCTCTCGGAGATGACTTATGGCATCTTTGGTCTTGGTAACCGTCAATACGAGCATTTCAACAAGGTTTCTCCATCTTCGTTTCTTCTGTTTGTGAACTCATCTGGATTTTTTTGTAGGTTGCCATGGTTGTCGATGAAGAACTCGAGAAGCAAGGTCAGTGTTTAATCAATTCCTGCAATGTATAGAGTTGTGTGATATGTTTCGTCGTGCAGGCGCTAAGAGATTAGTTCCTTGTGGAGCGGGTGACGATGATCAATGCATTGAAGATGATTTTACTGCCTGGTACTCTGATGATCTCTTTGTTTCTTTAGCCCACAAGCGATTTGATTGATTCACGCAGGCGTGAGCAGCTGTGGCCAGAGCTTGATACTCTACTGCGGAACGAGGACGATGTTGTCCTGGCTTCAACTCCTTACACGGCTGCTGTGAGCGAATACAGAGTTGTTTTTCATGAAAATCCAGTTAAACTTCTTGAGGGGAGCTTCTCGGCAACGATGGAAAATGGTGGTTCTGTTGTCGTTGACATGAACCATCCTTGTCGGTAACATATCAGTGTCATTTCTTGTCAGTTCGCTCACGTTTTTGTTTTTGTCACCAGGGCGATCGTTGCTGTTCAAAGAGAGCTACACACTCCGTTGTCCGATCGTTCTTGTACTCATCTGGAGTTCGACGTTGCGGGCACAGGCCTCAGGTAAGCGTGACGAGTTTCACTTTTGATATTCAGAACCTCTTTTTGTTTTTTTGTGTAGTTATGAGACAGGAGATCATGTTGGAGTTTATGCGGAGAACTGTCACGATGTTGTAGAAGAAGCTGCACAGCTTTTGGGCCATTCCCTTGATACGGTTTTTTCTTTACACATTGAATCGGAAGATGGATCTTCTTTGGCCGGAAATCTTCTGCCACCGTTTCCAACTCCGTGCACTTTGAGAACGGCCTTGGCTCGTTATGCAGATCTGCAAACACCTCCTCGCAAAGTAAGCTTTTTACATTTCCTCCAGGACTGCAGAAATTAAATTCTTTGTTTCTTCTGATCTACAGGCTGTGCTTGGTGTGCTTGCCGCTTATGCATCTGATCCTGCCCAAGCAGAACGTCTGAAGCATCTTGCTTCACCTCAAGGAAAGGTAATAAGTCGTCGTGCATTGGTTATATATTGATGTGTCTGACTAAGTCTGCAAAAACAGGATGAGTATTCCCCAATACATTGCAACTTCTCAAAGAACTCTTTTAGAAGTGATGGAAGACTTCCCGTCCGTTAAAGTTCCACTCGGTGTCTTCTTCGCCTCGGTTTCCCCTCGTTTACTACCCAGATATTATTCCATTTCATCATCTCCAAAGTACGTTGCTTCCAGATGATGTTTTAGTAAACGATTGTTCTGATGTTCTGCGTGCTTGCAGGTTTTCTCCCACACGAATTCATGTAACTTGCTCTTTGGTTTATGGCCCGAGTCTGACCGGCCGCATTTTCAAAGGAGTTTGTTCGACATGGATGAAGGTTAGAACTTGCTTTCGCCTGATCATGACTTGAGCTCTGATTTGTTTTCTTCACTATGCAGAATGCACGATCAGCTGAAGAAGCCGGTGATGAGTGTAGTTGGGCACCCATATTTGTTCGTCAGTCGAATTTTAAGCTTCCTGCAAATTCAACTACACCTATTGTAATGATAGGACCTGGCACAGGATTGGCGCCATTCAGAGGATTTCTGCAGGTATTTCAGCTCACATTCAATCTGCCAAAACAAAATCAAATTCCTCTATTTTTCTTCCAGGAAAGAGCTGCTCTGCAAGCTTCTGGAGAAACTCTTGGGCCGGCGGTTCTCTTCTTTGGTTGTCGGAATCGCAAGCAGGTCTGGATCTTTTTTTTGTGTATGTTTTAGTTGCTTACTCAATATGGTAAACGAACGCTCAGGACTTCATATACGAGGAGGAGCTGAAGGAGTATGTCAAGAAAGAAACCTTGAGCAGCTTGTACGTTGCATTTTCCCGAGAAGGCTCCACCAAGGAATACGTTCAGAACAAGATGATGGAGAAGGTTTGATCGATTGCTGCTTGTTCTGTGGTGTAACTCGTTTGCAACGCAGGCTGTGGATATGTGGAAGCTCATTTCAGATGGAGCTTATTTATACGTTTGCGGTGATGCTAAAGGCATGGCTCGGGATGTTCATCGGACTTTGCACACGATTGTGAAACAAGAGGTTCGTTCGTAGTCAGATGAATCAATCAGACACAGAATGCGAGACTCAAATTTCGGTTGTTGCAGGGAAATGTTTCGGAGCCGGAAGCTTTTGTAAAGCAACTTCAGAACGATGGTCGATATTTGAGAGACGTGTGGTGACTCCAGACAGTGCCAAATGGACCTTTGGAGCGCTTGTAAAGAGCGGGATATCAATCAGTCGGTCAGTCGGTCAGTCAGAGGCAAGACTAGATTTTTGTAGATCAGCGTAACCATTTATTCCAGAAGATTTTCGAAGAAATCCTCTGATTCTGTGATACATAAAATTCAGCATTCGATTGGTTCTCAGCCCACTCGAAACGAGTCTTGAATCCTTCGAAGTACCGGCGCATGTTTTCGCCACTGCAGTCCTGCAACCAGGAAATCATCTCACAAACTTATCGAATCGGAATTTACGAAGATCTCACCATTTGCATTGACGGACATGAGGTAAAGCCTGTTCCCAGCAGCAGTCGCAGTGATGAGTATGTGCGGCTCAACTTCGTATTGATAGTAAGTTCTTCCTTCGTATTTCTTCACCTCCATATCTTTGACAGCCCCTTCAACGTTTTTGCCTGTGATTTCCGGCCCAAATGCATAGATCACCTTGTCAGGCGCGCCGATCTCTTCAATCGTCGCATTATCAGCAATTGCTAGATCATATACAAAAAAATATTTAAAAATGCATGGTAATAAATTTTAAAAAAACTTTAAAAGAAAGAAAAAGAAACCGACTTACTGTCTGAAAATCGCTTCACTGGAGCAACAACTATAGCGATATTCCCTTCTTCAGTGCTTGAAAATCTGAGGTCAATCTCCGTTCCACCCAAATCAGCAATGGAAACTGGAACCTGCGAACAACTACGCCAAGGTTTTTGTCGGCTGGTTTAATCACAATACTATGATCGTGTCGCAGCGCAAGGACTGCATCACGTCTCCATCCTCTTAGAAAAGATCGAGGTCTTTTACAACAGGAAAGACGTTGGAGAAGGTGCTCTCGAATGCGGGCAACTCGTGACTCCATGTGCCAGGAAGCAGGGGGAGGATCAAAGTTTGGGTTGGGAACCCGAAACTCTGGTATAAGACTGTTGCTGTCCTTAAACGAATGACGAAGACGGACTGAGCGTTGAAAGTCATCTAAGCATTCCATAATCTTTTTGGCCGTGAGAGGCACTGGATTAGGAATGAATGAGAGCCCAAGAGCAAGGAGGCCCTTTTCAGCGGCACTCAACATGCGAGAAGACAAATTGTGAACAGCACCAATCTCCACTCTATTTTCTAGCTGGGAAACTTTTTGATTGCCGGCAAAATGAAGTAAAGCTTCATGCGGGGCAATCAAAGGTAGCCAGAAACTTTTGCCTTGCCTTTTCTGTCCACAGGCACTGCCGTAACTGGAGAGTGCGGGCGTTGCTGTGGAGGCGAGTTTCTTCCCAAGCCATAGCGTTGGGTTCGTTCGTGGAGTGGGGTGTTGTTGTGGTGCTGTGAGGGCTGCATCCCTTGTCCTCTGGGAGGTGAAGGTGGTTTCTGGTTCTGAGTTGGCTGGCGTTGTTGGGCTGCTGGAGGAGGTCGTGGTGTAGTCTGGCGCCCTCGGCCGCTTGGCCAGTTCGGTTGGGACCGTGGGGGTCGACCGTTTCCTCGAGACTGGCGTTGGCCACCTCTGCCAGTCATGGCTGGCTGGGAACCAAGCACGGTTGGAGATTGCCGGTGCAAGGGACCCCTTGAAGAAAAACCCGGGGCATCGGAATGGGTGGGAGGAGTCCCAGTAACCACATTCCGCCCCTGCTCGTTTCCCTGCCATCCATGGGTAACGTCACGTTCACCACTGGGGAGAGAAACCTTGCGTGTCTTTGAAGAGCCTGCTTCACGTATGTGGAGTGAGGTATCCGTCCTTTGCTGTCGTTTGCCTTGTGATCTGGTGCCTCTGCCAGCATCTTCGTGGTGTTGTCTCGGAATTCCACGCTCCCTCTCCTTCCACATCTTGTCAAAGCAGCTCTGGACAAGCATCTTAACAGTGTCTTCCTTGGGCAGTGTCTCCGCCTTGGCTCGTGCAGCATCCTCTGCAGCTTCCCTTTGCTTGCGAGCATTTTCCTTTTTGCTCTCCTCAACTCCATATGCCACTGCTCCAATTGCAGTCGCACGTTGGTATTCAGCTATCAACTGATGCTTGCGGGCATTGAGAGTATGTGTGACAGCCTCTCGTTGTGCATTGCCACAAGCCTGCAAAGCACAGTGAACAAAATCATCCATTCGATCATTAAAACGTTGAGAGAGTCCATGGTTGATGAGATCCGCAAGGGTAGCAGCCTCAGCCTCTCGTGCCTTGAGCAGAGAATCAAGAAGGTCCTTCAAGTATTGTTCGTGGATTGCTTTGATGCTGGTATCAAGAAGTTCCTGACCGTGAGAGGTCACCTCAAGCTTTGGCATACGAATGCGAAGGTCTTGAGGGAACTGCTTTTTATCACGGAGCTGAGTCAATCTCTTCACAGCCTTGTGAGCTTGATTTAGAGACTTGAGCTCGTTCATGAATTCCTTGATCGAGCATTCAAGGATGGCAGAAAGAGCCTCATCAAGCCTACCAAGTCCCTCAGTCGAGGAGCTAGTGAGGGCATTGCCAGGGGCAAGGAAAGGTGGCAACTGCTGTGGAAGAGTGTTTCCAGTAGCAGAAATGCCAGCACTATTCTGCAACACTGTGAAGAGGTCTACCAATCCAGAGAATGGAGTAGATGATGGCACAGCTGGGGATGAAAAAGGTGGTGGGATTGAAGTTGTTGATGAAAAGAGTGTTGGTAAAGTTGAGGCCATGGAGAAAGGTGGTGTGGTGGAGAAGGTTAATGGAACAGGAGGCGAGATGGAGAAAGTTGGTGGAGTATGAGGTGTTGTAGCAAAGAGAGGAGGGCTAGTTGTCGATGGAGTAGGTGTATGGATGGTTGTAGTTGTGAGCACAGAGGTACATGCAAGCGTAGACATGGGTGTATATGCTGGTGCATGTGGTGAGAGTGAGTTTGTTGTAGGCACAGCCATAGGGGATGTAGAGGTGGTCACAGGTGGCACAACGGATCTCCTAGGCGGCATAGTTGCTACTGGGGCAGTTGCTGGAGACAGAGTGGGCTGCATATCTGTCACTGATGCTACAGTGGACCATGTAGCCGTTGACAGTGGTGCTGAGACAGGTCGTGAAGCCAAGTGTCGTTCAGCCAAGTGTCGTTCCTCTGTAAGTGCCAGTTCCCTCAAGAATTCAGGAGAAGCTGGAGGAGACTCGGTCGTGAGTGCATATACTGACGTTTGAGGTGGTAGAGTGCGTGGTAGTGGTGTTGGAACTGACGTTTGAGGTGGTAGAGTGCGTGGTAGTGGTGTTGGAACTGACGTTTGAGGTGGTAGAGTGCGTGGTAGTGGTGTTGGAACTGACGTTTGAACTGGTAGAGTGCGTGGTAGTGGTGTTGGAACTGACGTTTGAGGTGGTAGAGTGCGTGGTAGTGGTGTTGGAACTGACGTTTGACCTGGTAGAGTGCG